TTGCACTCGCGTGATTCACGCAACTCACGCATGCGCACGCGATGCAGAGCAACAGAATCAGTAGTTATACCGGTCGGATCCCATCCCTGCCTAGCCAGCATATATCACCAAGTGCATACAATATATAGAGGATCAAGCATACATTACAGTTCAAAATCCCGATTTACATCACGTTGACATGTATGAAACATTGTAAATAGTGATATAGGTGGTTCAAAGTCATTTATCTTGCATTGATATATTTCCTTTCTTTTTTCACAACCATTTTACCCACACTTGCTGCTTTGATCTCTTCTTCTACTGTAGCGTTTCCTAATCTGGTGTCTTTCAGATATGTTGTAACTATGAACTATAATGATGTGTATGGAGATTCTCAATCATCCAGGCCATGGTTGTCCCAAAGGTACTTTTTCAGGAGGCAACTGGACTTTCTGTTTTTTCTTTGAAGACATTTAACTTCTCTTGAAGAAGCTGAAGAAACTTCTTGGATGAGAAGCAAAAAGTCTTCAAAGAAAAAAAACAGAAAGTCCAGTTGCCTCTTGAAAAAGCACCTTTGGGTATAATGCTTGATAAAATTTCTGGAACCCTTTACTTCCAATGCATTAAGGGGGCACCAGGTTGGAGAAGACAATTCTAATAACTGAAACACTATTTTTATGAACTTTGGGGAGCTAACAATACTCATATCTAATTAAATCTATATTTAATAAAGGCAATTGCAAAATAAAATTTGCTTGTGGAAGGAAAGTACTACATCTCCTCATACATTAATTAACACTTGCTCAAGTTCCAGGCAGTAGTGCAATGTCCTAGCTAGACCAGATTTTTGCTGCTTCTTCCAAATCTTCCTTCTCCTTGAAATGAATGAAGGAAATTACATACAGATAGTCCTTGACTTACAGGTAGTTCTCAACTTAATGAAAGAAGTTATATATAGATAATCCTCAACTTTAGTGACCAAAGTTACAACAGTACTGAAATGATTGACTTGTGACTGATCATTGCACTTATGACTGTTGAAGCATCCCCATGGTCATGGGGACACATGACATGTGCCCCCTTGACTATGGGGCACTTGGCATGTGTTTACAGTAGTTGCATCATACCAGGGTCATGGGATTACCATTTGAAACCTTCTCAGCCAGCTTCTGACAAGCAAAATCAAGGGAGAGGAAGCCACATTTGCTTAATGATTGTATTACACTTAAAAACTGCAATGGTTTACTAAACAATTGGGTGCAACTCATTTAACTGCCTTGCTTAGCTGTGAAAATTTTGATCCTAATTGTTGTCATAGGTAAGGACTACTTGTGGTTTCCTTAGATTATACTGCCAAAATTGGACAGCCTCACCCTGAAGCCTGACTATGTTAGTTTTCAGCCAGAGAAACAGTGTGAAGTAGTCTTAAAATAGATCTAAAACCTTTATGATGCTGAGAAACAGAACAAAATATTTCTGGAAATAATCATCTGTATTTGTGGAACCATCCGTTTCTGTGACACAATGTGACTCACTGCAGCCCTTGATGCAATCAAGCAGTTGTGGTCCTGGGTTTATGAAATGCTGCCTCTGCATTTTAAAATGCCCCGATCTAGCTGGGACCTGGGCCAGAGAACTTTCTCCTAATGCATGAATCAGAGGGAAGAAACTAAAGGGGGTAATTACGTGAGAAGTTTTCTGCTGTTTGTAGAATGAACTGTCCTCTTCATGCTGAGAACTACCTAGACCAGTCATACTGGCTGGGGAATTCCAGGGGTTGAAGTCCACACACCTTCAAGCTGTCAAGGCTGAGAAACATTGATCTAGACTGAAAAGATTGGCCTTAAAAAAAATTCCTTTCCACATCCATCCCTGAAATGATTCCTCTGCATGAATTCATATCAGTTTCCTTGTGGGTCTAGCATTTTGCTTGCAAAGGAACCACATCCAACCCTTTGGATAATATGCTTGCCATGGTTTTTGCTGTTTCTGTTACTGAACGTGATTTTTTTTCCTTCCAATTTTTGGACTTTAAAAAATTAAATATTTCTAAATACATTGGCTGTTATTGCTAGTTGCCTTTTTTTAAGAAAAGATATTTTTAAGCATAATGGTTGAATAAAATGCCTGCAGCGTTCATTGAATATGGAATTATGCTGTATATTTGAAACCCCAGTGAAAAATAAAAATGCAATCTGACATATGTGTAGCCCAGCCTTGTTGATTTAGAGGTATACAGGTAAGTCTCTTTAGAGTCCTCCCAGGCTGTTGTTTGTACATTTGTACATTTTCTTTATACATTTGGAGGTTTGGAGGTGGAGAGTAGCTGTGAATACCTTTACTATATACCTGCTTAGCTTCAGCAGCCTCTCAAACGAAATGTCCAAGGTAGAGTTAATAATCCTTCCCAACTGATAGAGATTTCGTTTTTGTAGAGTGTTCATTTTTATAATTGAAGCAAAATGTAAGGCTTTTTCCTTTATCATTTGTTTTTCCAAACCCACCATCTTTTCCATGTTGCTTTCACTGTCTTTCTCTTGTCAACAATTTATATGAAAATAATTGGCAACAATTTGATGAGACTCCTTCTCCTTCTTGTCTTCCTCTTCTTCCTTTGCCTTCACTTTTTTTCTTCAGAAAGAAATGGGTTTAACTTTTATAGACTTAGCATTGCTTGTATCATATCTGATTTAATGACTAGAGATGTTAATAATTGAAAATTCAGTTTACAAAGTCATTTCTGCCTCCTTCTCATTTTGGAATTTATCAAACATATCAGATGTTACTTCTTCCCTTGGAATAAGTGTTATTGTTTTCTTCACAAACCAAATTTTAAGTATGATTCTGAAATCTCTTGTTATTCCATTAGTTCCCAGGTTGTTACAATTATTTCATATGGAGTTTTGATAGCACCACATTTTCTGGAGTTGGAAGATCTCTTGGAGAAGATTACTGGAGGATACCTCATGGAGGATGAAACTTAAAACACCCCTGAAAACTAATGTCCAGCCTCTGCTAAGTACTTTTTAGGATACTTTCAGTGGTGTTTTTGAAGTCCAAATTTATCTTCAATTAATTGAGAGGAGGAAACAAAAGGTGTTCAAAGTTTTGTTTGAATGGAGAAAGACAAGTGTGTCTATATAGTCTTCTCCATAAATCTACATAGGAAGGTCTCCTTGCCTCAGATTTCCTTATTAATGTGTAGAAGAGCCATGAAAGTAACCCAACTAGGTAACATTATTAAAGAAGTTTGCTATTCTCTGAATTTGTTGTTTGCAGATGTTACCTTACATATACATATATACATATATCCATATACACATATATCCATATACACATATACACATATATACATATACACATATACACATATACACATATACACATATATACATATATACATATATACATATATACATATATACTGAGAGAATATACCAAAAATAATTAAAACAACAGACTGTGATAATCTGATAATCCATAGGATGCTTTATTACATAAGATACTGCAGTACCGGATCCCTAACTCCCAAACAACCGTTTAGGAGAAAGGACACACTCCCTTCCAATACTTACAGACTTATATAGGTTTTTCACAATTGCATGGTTACATAACACTTCCTGTTTTCCATACATAGAAGTTATAGAGGTTGTCATAGGAAAGACATGGGTAGTCCTGGGTGTTTTCCCATAACTCCTCTTATGCGTCCCTGGAAGTTCCCCAACTTTCTTCACTTCACCATTTATCTTCAGATTTCCTGTTTTCTCCTTACAAGATTACACAAGAGACCATTAATATCCCTTAATATATCTTATAATGTCAAGACACCCCAGTAAAGTCCAAAACATTTGCTACCACAACAGCATACGAGATGAACAATGCCTAGTAGTGTAAAATCAACACTTTTATTTCCCTCTTAAAATCTTTTTCTCCCATCATTGGTGGCAGCTTTCCATTTCACAAGAGCTCAGCAAATAAAGAGGGAAGACCTTTGTCTGAAATTAGCTGCCATCCAAAGCTAACACCATTGGGAATAAGGAGCCTGATTCTATTTAAGGCAGCACTTTATATGCTTACATGAGTATAACTGTAGGTCACTTTTTTCTGGTGCTTAAATCCTAGCAAAATATTTCACATGCTATATTCGAAGCTGCAGATCTTTTTAATTTCCATATATGGATTTGTAATATCCAGTATTCCCCATTGTGCTCTGTGAACAAATGTACATGAAATCCATATAGTGAAAGACCCATTTCCTCAAGCGTATTCCAGGTGCTCAAACTCCAGCAATGCTTGAAATCTAGGTCACCACCTGACTTATATCATAAATGATTTTTTTTTTAACCAGAACATTGTGCCAGTCTTTATAAGATTCACTGCTTGGTATGCAAATTTAAGGAAATAAGAACAAAAGAAAAATAAGAAAGAAGTAAGTATCTTTTGTAACTATCATTTTAAAGATAGTGAATATTGCTTATCCAATTTCATAAAATATATCAATGCCAGATCCATTTATGTTTCCTGAAAACATTTATTTTGAATTAATTGTACATTAAATCCTGTACATATTATCTCATTTTGCCAATTGACCCAACTGTAACTTCTTTCATGTTCTACTTACTCAAAGGAATATTGGAAATGCAATGCTGATGCATAGATCAACAGCAATCTGCTGCCATTAGATGGCCACCAAATTAAATAGATTTTAAAAGGAAGTGGGAACAGTCAAGCAGGGAAAGTTATAAATGGTTGCAAATCTTGTAGGCTTTTTAGTAGTGCAAAAAGCATCCCTTTAAAATGAAAAATTGGAACGGCTAGGAATGTTTGACTAGATGAGCCATTGACCTGATCTAGCATGACTCTTATGTTCTGATGTGTATTCTACTTTGTGGTGTTAGACATATTATTGCCTCTGCCTCCAGAGACAATAAGAAGCCTACACATGAACATGGACACGAGGAATGATGAAACATCCATTTTGACATCACAATGCAAATTCTGAGTCCTTTTGAGCTCTCAACATGACGTAATTACCAGAGGTCAGCAAGGAATATAAATAGTTCCATTCCCCACTATCCTGTCAGAGCTGAAGAAGCTTCTTGGATGAGAAGTGAAATATCTTCAAAAGACAAAACAAGAAAGTTGTGTTGCCTCCTGAAAAAAGTACCTCTGCGACAACTCTTCATAAACTTCCTCTATTAACTATTATTCTTTTCAATTATGTTTAACAATATTATATGCAATTTTAGGTAAAATGTTTTACATGTTAGGATACAAGCAAATTTCTACTTTTCTGATAGGAACTTTAACTACCAAGATATCATAAAAAGTTGCTTTTCATTTGAATTCCTGTGATCTGCTATTTTTTCCCCACATTTAATTTCAATCCAGGTGCTGCAATGAATTTTACATTCTCTCTAGAATGTTTGTGATATTGGATTGGCTGCATCATATTTAAACACCATTGTTTCATTATTATTCATAGAGCTTCAGATTTTATAGCACTTTTTGGATAAGGATGGCAAATTGTTTTTATAGACATTAAATCTTGAAATACACAATTATGGCTTACAAGCAATGCCATTAACTCAGGCTTAATTCTTCTATTCTTTATGAAAGTAACTGTAGATTTTTTTCCCAAAATAGTTTGAGTTACGAAGCCTATGGCCAAAGGATTCTTAGAATTTTTGTAGAAGATTCTGCCATGAATCAATTAATTTATAAAACGCAGCCTAACCAAAATAGGAAGCATAAATCAAAATTTAATTGGAAGCAAAAAATTTTTTAAAAAACATTTTTATAAAATGTTTGGATGCTTGTTCAATATTTGTAGCAAAAATGTTATTATTATTACCATATGTTTATTATGTTCTAATAACTAATACTAATAAGTTCTAATAACATGAATACTAGTTTTATGGAGGTATAAATAGTAGCATTTTTCCAAGTAGCCTAACATGAAATAATTAAATATAAAATCATGTGATTATTTCTGAAAAGTCTTTGGTAATACTTATTTCTTTCCGCTTTTTATGCAGTATTTTAGCTAGGCAGTTCTAGTTACATAAAATTTAAAGATATTTAGAGATATTTAGAGAAGAATTGGCTGTATGAAACATCTGTTGTGCCAAAGCACACTTTTCTTAATATTTAAATTTAGTTCTGAAGTACTTTGGCTGTCAAGCAATCTTTATATTTGTATCATTAATATCCAGCACTTTTTATGCCAATTAAAAGTAGGAATGGAAAATAATTCCATCATGGATTCTGTTGGGAGTGGACTTGAGTATTCTGTTCCCTCTGGATTTTTCTGAGACATGGATCTTGGCATCAAAGGAAATCTGATTACCAGTTGCCTTGATCAAGAATCTATTTTTTTTATTAAAAAAACTACTGTACAGAAAGTTGCATAGAAACAGGGGTAGTTACACTTTTAAAAAGAGCTTACATCAGGAAAATTTGTGTTAAAGAAATCTGCATTAAGAACATTAATTTGTCAGAAACAGAAGCAGGATAATTTACATTTTTAAAATGCAAAAAGAGTACTGGGCAATTTATGTTAACAGCTACATAAATTAGGAGAACATGCATATACAAAAGCTCTATTATGTTAGAGAACATGAATGTAAATGATTGCAGCAATTCCTGCATACTTTTTTTGTAAAGGACCTTTGGCCTTGAATTATCCTCATAATATATGGAAGTTTGTATTGGTCCACACATATCAAACAAAAAGTGATTCCAGATACATACTGTCCCATGGTGCTAAATTGGGTGCGGGGTTTTTTGGGGTGTAGTTGATGTACTGAATTCCTTCTTCCATGCCAATTTGTCATACACAGGTTTGGGTTGCCATCCCACACATGTAATACAAATTATTGAAAAATAAATAATATGTTAATTTTATTTTTTATTTTATTTGTTTGTCAAACATCTACAAGATAACAAGTATAGCTATGAACATAAACAAGAACAAAAGAAGTAAATACAGATAAATGGGGACAGTAAGACAGTAAGATAGACACGCTGATGCACTTATGCATGCCTCCTTTAAGGACCTCTTAGGAATGGGGTGAGGTCCATGGTAGACAGTTTGAGATTGAAGCTGTGTGGGTTTGAGGCTGTAACAAGGGAGTCTGGTAGGGCGTTCCATGTTATTAACCACTCTATTGCTAAAGTCATATTTTCTGCAATCAAGTTTGGAGTGGTTTACCTTGAGTTTGCATCGGTTGTTTGTCCATGTATTATTGTGGTTGAAGCTAAATAAGTTGTTGACAGGCAAGACATTGTAGCAGACGATTTTGTATATTATGCTTAGATTGGACTGCAGGCAGTGCAGTTCCAGATTGTCCAAGCCCAAAATTCTATTGTGAGTAGAGGAGTGGACCATCAATTCTTTACAGCAGGGATCCCTCAACCCTCGTTCCATGGTCCGGTGTTGGGCTACAGCCCATTCAGAACCAGATTGTGGAATTGATGGCTGAGTGCATGCAAAACTGCACTTGTGAATGAAGTACATGTGCACCCATTAAAAACCATCCCCTCCACCACCTGTGCCACTGCCTCCACCTTCAACGGTCCACTGAGCCAGGAGGTTGCTGCTTTACAGGAAGCAAGGATCTGGGTTGGAGAGTTTCCTGCTGTCTAGACTTGTTTACAATCCAGTCTTATCAGAGAATCTTATTGAGATTTGGAAGGGGTTTCACATTTCTTCATAGAAAAGGACGTGCCTCAATTTTGATTCCTTGTACAAGCCACATGTAGAATGTATATCTTTTCAAAACACTGGCTTGCGCAATTATGCAATATGCATTTTTGAATAAAAGAGCATTAAATGACTACATAATTTTTTTGGCAGAAGAGTGAAGAAAAGAGCATCTAAAGGAACTCAAAAGAAGCCTTCACTATTTTTTCTCACTAATCAAAAGGAATGTGAACAGATTTGATGGAATTTCATCCACAAAATGTGCTTTTGGTTGAAAGCCAAGATCTCTCCAAAAACATAAATAAATCAAGTTTCTTTAGAAGTGTGGGCAGTTAAAATAAAAAAGAAACTGACTTTAGTACAGCAGCATTAATGGATATTATAATATACTCATGCAGCTAATTGCATCATATTTCCCTCCCCCCAAAGTTATGCCCCACCTTTGTTGCTAACTCAAAGGATGAATGGTGAAATGTTAGATTAAGTCTTCACATATATTTCTTTTAGAATGGGAAAAAGAAGGATTATTACAGGAATATACTATGGGACAGGCAGAAAATCGGGGACTCTGCAAATCTTTTGGAAGCAACAGTTCCTTGTTGTTAATTTCTCTAATAGGCATTGATTGATAATCTAGATCTAAAACATCTTGATTGTTTAATTACCTTCCCTTTCCCTATGGGTCCAAAATTGGGCTACCAAATCTGGGCTTCATGCATCCTGACAACCACTACATGGAAAGAAAGAGTTAGCATATTTTGTATTTCTTTGCTGCGATATATCATTCAGATCAGTCTCTGTCAATCTCAGCAACTTTAAGGCGTATAGACTTCAACTCCCAGAATTCCTCAGCCAGCCAGGTTTTTGCAATTAAACTATTGGCCAGAGATTTGTCATGGATGATTTTGCTTCTCTAAAAAAAATTGTCTTTATAAAGAAAAAAAGACTGCTAATTTTCAGTGACAGGGAAACACCCTGTTGCTATGGCTTTTCCTCAAAGAAGGGGTTTTTTTTGGTGGGTGAAATATTAACTATCCCTGGCAGTGAAAAATAGAAAATTATTTATGTTTGTAAAATGTCCAGTTCTCTGCCTTCCAATCTCTCTGTGTATCTTTTAAGTTTTAAGTTGAAAACCAGTAATGGGAGTCTAACATATTGGATATGATGGCTCAGCGGCTAAGGTGCTGGGCTTGTTGATCAGAAAGGTTGGCAGTTCGGTGGTTCGAATCCATAGCACCACGTAATGGAATGAGCTCCCATTACTTGTCCCAGCTTCTGCCAACCTAGCAGTTTGAAAGCATGTAAAAATGCAAGTAGAAAAATAGGGAGCACTTTGGTGGGAAGGTAATAGCATTCTATGCACCTTCGGCATTTAGTCATGCTGGCCACATGACCACAGAGATGTCTTCGGACCACGCTGGCTCTTTGGCTTTGTAAAGAAGATGAGCACCTCCTCCTAGAGCTGGAAATGACTAGCACATATGTGTGAGGGAAACCTTTACCTTTATCTTTACTAACATGTTGAAGCATAGAATGTGTGTCTCCAATTATCTCTTCTTCTCCACTTCTGATCCATTTAAAGGCTTATGTCAATTTATTGAAGCACTTCAATTTAAAACAGCTTCAGAGTTACAAAACCATTCCCAAACACTACAATAAAGAGCAGTCAAATGGGCTGATGTTCTAACAAACAGTGCACCACAGTTTTTTTTTTTAATATTAGGGCTATGTTTTCCAGCCTTGGCAACTTTAAGATAGGTGAACTTCAACTCCAAGAATTCCCCAGTCAGCCGGCACCCCAAAAAATATAAAAAAAGATGATGCAATCCTTGGTTGAATGAACAGAGGGATAGAGTCAAGATCACACGAAATAATAGTACTGCTTTATAAAACTTTAATAAGATCACATCTGGAATACTGCATCCAGTTTGGACCACTTGTCTGAAAAAGTATAGGGTCTCCTGTTTGAATAGGGGGCTGGACTAGAAAACCTTCAAGGTCCCTTCCAATTATTTAGTTGGATCCTTGATTATTCTGTATTCTGTATAGGATATAATTCTCTAATTTTGTTTACTTACTATATGAGAAATCTGAGTTGATTTATTGGTTAATACATTAGCTTCAGAGCTCCTTGCATCCTAAATAAAGTTTGTTTTTGCTACTTACCTTGAGCACTAGTTCTAAAAAAAGACAGGATTGACATTTTGTAAAAAAATTTTTTTGTTATATTCCCTTTTCACATAATGGTATTAAAAATGCTGCTCGTGATTATTTTGAGTTATGTATGATTTGCTGGTGTGATAAAACTAAAGAAACTTGTTCACAAGTTTTTTTCTAAACATAGGCAAAAATTCACACCTTTGTACTCAGTCTGGGCATCTTTCTTTCTCTCTGCTATTAAGAATTTGAGTAATATCTCCAAACAGCATTTGGAAAGAAACACAGGCATTTTGTACATCTATGTAGACAGGTGCATTGGGGAGGATGGAAAAGCCATCACTTCAATTACACACTTTTTGCTTCTCATCCCATATACCCATCTAATATCAAATGGAATAAGAAGTACTTCAAGGGAAGTCTAAGAGCATCTGGATGCTGCTGCCTCTTTACGATGCTCCCATTTTTGCAATATATTATTTCCCTTGGTTAAACTGATGTCTTGAAAGCAATTTTGAATATCAAATGATCAAAGATCAGTTTCTGCCTGAAAACCCTCATGAGCTATGTTAGAGAACATAGGCGAAGTAGCGGTAAAACTGTTTCACGTAACTGAAGGAATTATTTTTTTAAAAAAACATGGTATTTAGCTTTTATTGAGAAACACAACATGCTGGCTGACGTTGGCTAATTTGAAAAATGTAATAAAGGTTGGCCCAGTTTAATACTTACACAGGATACCACCAAGAATCCTAGGGCTGTTGGTCAGAATGGGAGGAAGGTTGAAAAAAAAACAACATATAGCAATAACTATACTTAGACTTATATACCACTTCACTGTACTTTACAGCCCTCTCTAAGTGGTTTTACAGAGTCAGTATATTGTCCCAGCAATCTGGGCCCTCATTTTACCCACCTCAGAAGGATGGAAGGCTGAGACAACCTTGAGTCTGGTGAGATTTGAACTACCAAATTGCAGTCAGCCAGCAGTCAGCAGAAGTAGCCTGCAGTACTGCATTCTAACCACTCTGCCACCGTGACTCTTCTGGAATATAATATCCTGGAATATGCAATGGTAAATTGGTTTGGTATTATTTCCAAGAACATCACATGTGCCTGGTCTTTATATCATCAGAAGTTAAATTCAACTTGAAGGAAAATATGCTGGTCATAGAAGCAAACAATTAAGCTACGATCTTATAGCAATAGCACTTAGACTTATATATCACTTTACAATGCTTATAGCCTTCTCTAAGCAGTTTACAGAGTCAGCATATTGGGTCCTCATTTTACCCACCTTGGAAGGATGGAAGGCTGAGTCAACCTTGATGAGATTTGAACTGCCAAATTGCAGGCAGCCAGCAGTCAGCAGAAGTAGCCTGCAGTACTGCATTCTAACTACTGTACCACTATGGCTCATACATATTTAGCAACATTTCTTAGTAACCATTCAATTTAATAAGCAAACCCAATTACAATATCAGCAGAATAAGAAAATGGTATTATTAAACTAAAAGCAACCAGCCAACAAAGTTATTGAAAGTGTATTATTGCTAGAAAGTCTAGAATTACATGATTCAAGGATGCCTGAAATAGCTGGGATTACACAATGATCTTAGCGTGACCTCAAGCAGGCAATAGAAGTAGGTAAACTCTACAGAAAGAACATTTCATGTCCAAGAGGCCCTTCATTTAATGGTAACCTTCTAAATCCATTATGAAGTTCTTGGATAGACGACATTCAACTTTGGTACGATCATTACCACACATTCACTTCCATGCTAACAGGAAAAGAAAGTTGGGAAGAATGTTCTGGCACTGGGCGATTTATTTAATAATGCATACACTTTATCAATAACATTACCTGCCCATTGATAGTATGCATTATACCAGGAAAATTTTCCTGCCTAGAAGGAAAACCTGTATGCCTTTCTGCTGAAACTATTTATTTTTTATTGGCTCTGTGGTAACATTTTAATCGTAGTTGCTCGTGGGTTTTTTTCCCATTCTGTTATCTTTTAATTGTTCTATTGATTTTTGTATTTATTATTGTTAACGTTAAAGTATGATTCATGACAAACTGGATTGAATATTTATCAAAAATACATTTTGTCATTTGTACGTTGTTCAAAATTGCAAAGTCAATAGCACATTGAGGCTTATAATTGTTCCTCTTGCTCATTCTTTTTCTTCCAATGCTGTTGTAGTGCTGTAATTATTTCTTCTCTGGAGCAATTGCTGATGCTGGTTTTGATAAACTGTTAGTAATTTATGGACATCCTTCAATCCATTTGCACTTTGACTACTGGTGGTTTAAAAAAAAGTGTTTTTTTTTCTCCCCCTATTCAAGCTAAAATGTACTATGTCTTATCTACAACCAGGATATTTCAAATAAACTTTGTGAAATTAAATACTTTTTCAGGGCCCAGATTTTACTCTGTTTTTCTTCAACCAAGTCTTTGGTTACTACATTTCAAATGGTCTTTTTTTTTCCTGACTAGATTAGAACTCTCAGTGCTTGTATAAGGAATTCATTGAGAGTTACTTTGAAGAAGGGGTTATGAGTTTTTCTCCCCCTCCCAGATGTAATGAATGGGAAATAAAAGATTGAATTCAAAATGCTATATTTCAATTCAAGCCTTCTTGCATTAGCGGACTGACAGGAACGTTGGGGGCGGGGAAGTCAGCCTCCCAGCAGCATCAACAAAAGAAAAACAAGAACCAGAATTCATTATGATGAGCCCTGAAACCAGAAGTAATGCATCTGCCAAGGCAGATTGATGGCAGGCAGTCCACATAGATATTAAATATGATTCCCTCTCTCCTGTATGCATTCATAGAGACTTGTTTGTAATACCGAGAAGAGTGTCCGCATCACTATTTTTCATCTCTGCTTTTCTTTTACTTTTATTATGTTCCTCCTATATACACTAGACTTGAAGAATTCTGACACTGGGTCATTTTTCTCTGCTTTAAAAGGCATTTAAGGCTGGATGAAGAGTAAGTGTCCCAAAGAACGAAGTCCCTCAAATGGTTATACCTGTAAAATCAATTCAAATTTCCCTTGTCTATCATGGTTGCATGTTTTGCTTTGTTCAAATGATAGGTCATTTATATGTTCTTACTTTATGAGGAAGAGAACATTGAGCTGTTTTTCAATAACCATAGATGGCCAGAAGAATGTTGCTCCCTAAGATGAAAATGAAGGAGCAGGCCAAAGCTGATAAGGACAGAAAAGAAGTGAGTTGTCGATCTGGGCCTTCTGAAGGGAGAGGATGAGCTTGGGGAGTTTTCCACTGAAGATTGAGGTCATCTCAGGTGTGAAAAATTAGGACTACACATGAAGTTCCAATTAAATTGTTTTATTATGGTATTAATCATGCCTACGCACAAGAGTCTACTAAGTTAGCACTGTCTTGGCATTAGATAAGGATCAATAGAATTAAAGAGTGGTTGGACTTAGTCCATTTTTGGCTACATAAAGACTCTAGGCTGATTCCTCTTTTCACTGTACCCAGGTTCTGCCACTCCTCCTACAGATGGCTTAGATGAAGTTGAAGACGCACACATACGGGAAGATAATTAGAATGATGATAATATGGAAGAGAATTCCTCAAATCACTTAAAAAAGAAGTGTCAAACTCACAGACCAGATGCATCACATGCTGGCCATGCCCACCCCCATTTGGGTGAAGGGGAAAAAAGTCACGACACGTCACATGATGACAACATGATGCCGCAAGTTTGACACCCCTGACTTAAGAGAAAAACTGAAAGAAATACTACTACAAGATGAAAACCACAGGTAGTACTACTTGTGTTTGGACTGTAAATTGAACACTGATGTATGGAATGGAAGAAGGGAACGTTGTTGCTGCCCAAATTTTTGTTTTTGTTTTGTATAAATTGAAAAGTAAATGTAGATGAAAAAACTAAATAGTGGCTCTCTATAGAAGGTGGTAGTTAACTCTTTCCCAACAAGAGTGATCCTCTAATGTGAAAATAGCAACTGTTGTGAACATCCAGAACATATCATTCTCTAGGGGTGACTAGGGGATGACATGATAGCAGTGTTCCAATATCTAAGGGGCTGCCACAAAGAAGACGGGGACAACCTATTCTCCAAAGGGATAGGATAACAAGAAGCAATGGATGGAAATTAATCAAGGCGAGAACCAACCTAGAACTAAGGAGAAATTTCCTGTCAATCAGAACAATTAATCAGTGGAACAACTTGATTTCAGAGGTTGTGGGTACTGCAACACTGGAGGTTTTTAAGAAGAGAATGGACAACCATTTGTCTGAAACGATATAGGGTTTCCTGCCTGAACAGGGGTTGGACTAGAAGACCTCCAAGGTCCTTTCAAACCCTGTTATTCCCTTATTCTCTCAGCACCAGGCAGATTAGACCAAAAATCAATTTCACATAGAAAGGTTATAACTACTTTTATTAAAATTGGCTACAATAGCTGAATCTTGAAAGTCTGGTAATGTTATGCTCCTTCTGTCTTTTATACCCTTGTGTATTAGCAATGAACAATACATTCAAAAAGAGCATTAACCTCTGTATTAAAATAAAATCAAGGTAGCTCATGACACTTCATAAATCACACATACTGGGTACACTATATCGGACTCCTCTAATACCCAACGCCTAATATTTTGTGGATAATCCAAATGTGCTAGCAGTCTCCTAGAAGGCCCAAGGGGGAGAAGGTGATGTAGGGTGTTTGGAAAGCCCATGACTATTTATTTATTTTATTAATTGGATTAAAAACAATTCACGCCTAAATAAATGACAGGAAAAAAAACCTAAAAACAAAAAGGAAATCATACAGAGAATCATACATACTGTATATATTCATATGTATACATACATACAAATGTGTGTGTGTCTATGTTTATGCATATGTGTATCTATATCTTACACACACACACACACACACACACACTTTGCATAAGTATTTCACTGTATGGCAGTCATATTTCATTATAATCATCCATTGCTAATTTATGTCTGAAAATGGTTTGTTTGTAAGTTGCTTATAATATCAACTTTGCTGACAACTGAGTATATTGAAGCATATAATTTAGCTTTTCCATGCTGCAGAATAAATCTTTTAGTTATAGGTAGGTTGCAGAGATTTCTTTTTCTTTGTCCTGGTGTCAAGTTTCATGCAGTAAGAAATAGTTTTAAAAATATGTCTGAATATACTAAAATTTCCTTCACAGTTAATACATGTAATGACTTCCTCCTCGAGTGGATCAATTAGAAGGTACAATTCAAATGAAATTTTGAATGAAATATGCATATCACTGGATAACAATGCAATCATTTATTGAAGATTTTTTTCCTATATAAGAGCAACAGAGTCCTATAGGCCTGAACATTTTTTTTGGTTGAATAAAAAACATAATGTAACTTTTACTGAAGTTTTTTTTTTTTGGTTGAGGTTAACAATTGTCTCCATTGTCTAGGCAAAATAGGAGTTTTAATGCTTTATTACATTCAATCATGAAAGTTTGCATATCAGATTGATTCATCACCAACCTAATTGTACAAGGAGTAATTGTAGGGGGTTTTATGAATAGGATTTAATAATCACTTGTAGTGGATTAAGTGTTCCCAAGGCCAAAAATGCCTCAGGTTCAAATTGGAATATCAATAGACATTTTAATTTTAAATACTGCCACTGAGCCATACTAGGCAGATAATATTTGTTCTTTAAAATGGAAAATGATAACAATTAATCATGTTTAGTATTATTTAAGCAGAAATATAAATCCTGTCTTCCATCTAAAATGTCCATTTAATAGGTTTTTAAAAATCAGTTCTGAGATTTGGATTGCTGTATAGTATCAACATATAGTATCTGTGCATATGTGAATGTGGGTGTGTGTATTTATATGTATGTCATTTGTTAGAAATAATGTAAGATGGTCTTTGCATTGTGGTAATAGTAAGAGGAGCTACTGGAACTATGTTTTAATATTGATCCTTAGCAGAGGTGGTATTCAGCAGATTCTGACCAGTTCTGGACAAACGGTAGCAGAAATTTTGACTAGTTTAAAATACCACCTCTGATTGGCCCCACCCCCATCTATTCTCTGCCTCCTGAGTCCCAGCTGATTGGCTGGGTCTTCTTTTGTTGCCCTGCACAGGAGAACAGAGCTGGAAAGCAGGTTAGTGGGGTGGGGAGGGAATGGGAATATTGCAGTAAACTTCCCCTGGAGTGGAGTGGACATGGAGATTTTGGAGTATCCTTCTCCTGCACTCCCACCAAGCCACATCCACCAAGCCACGCCCACAGAACCGGTAGTAAAAAATTTCCACCACTGATCCTTAGATACTCCAATTAATAATAAATGTAATATATAAATATTCTATAGAAGGAGAATTTCCATACAGCAAACAGATATTAAAAATAGCATTCATCAAAATTTGACCCTCCTTTCCCTATAATACACAATCTTTAAAAAAGAAAAAAGAAATAAAAAAGAAGCAAAAAAGAATTGGAAAACACTAAATTTTTGGAAATGTTTTTATATATACATATATATGGAAATTCCATACAAATGATTAATATTCTAGAGTATACATTCATCTATCAAAATTCAAGATCTCATGTATTTTATTAATGTTTAAAGTTATTGTCTGCAAAAGATCTCAAGATCTTTACTATATTTATAACAAATATGAACCTGATAATTGTTCAATGATATAATGAAGGGATTTTTTTCCCTATTGTCATCAATTCTAACCTGGACCAGAAAATGCCTTTGTAACTTAAAAGACTTTACCTGGTAAAAGAGTCATGCCTTTAGATCCTTATATTAAATTTAAGATCAAATTTCAGCTGCATTGTATGTATTGTGTGACAAAATACTTCCTTTTGTGTGCATTGGATTTCATATTAATCAGTTTTGTTGGAAGATCTCACGTTTTAGTATTATAAGAAGAATTACAAACACAGTTTTATAAATCCCCTCACACCTCACTTTTTGTCTTTTACTAAATGAAAAAAAAAAATCCATCCCTCTCATGATCTCACATATCTTTTGCCATGTGACTTTTTCAGACCTTCTGTTTGGGGATTCTAACTGAGCTATTTCAGATGTTTTTTAGTCCAGATTGAAGATAACATGAAATTGACAGAAATGTTCTTTTTTCCACATTTATTTTCATTTTAGGTTATGCTGCATGTTATCATATGCTACCTATATTCATATAATCCATACTATCAGTATAACAATTCATGTGAACCAAGTAACATGAAATGAATGAAGGCCAATATATTTCCTTTAATTTTGAAAGCTGATAAAAGGAGCAATGTCCCACTGCAATCATATCAATTAATGCTGGTAGTATATATGATTAATCTTTTTCCCCATTTAATTATTAAACACCTAATAATTTGGTTAAGAACATTAAGTGCCTCCTTTCCCAAATGTGAATTACTAATAATCATCCAGTCAGCAAGCCTATTCATATATTGCCCAAAGAATAATTCTGTATGTTCAATGGATCTTCAAGTCTAATATGTGATGTGGATTCAATATTCTATACACATATTTTAGACCAATCTTATAATATATTTTATTTTTCAAATGTTGCAGATGAAATATATACTCCATGCATGTGGGAATGAATATCTGCATATATTCAAATGTATAATTCAAGGGAGCCCACCTACAATTACGTTACATGATCCCACTCTGTAATTAATGCAAATGGAATGATTAGCATTCACATATAGAGTTATGTCTCTGTGACTGTTTATCCATCTATGATTAAGATTATTTCTAAACTGAAAAATATGAGCCTGTTTAAAAAACAACAGTCTGAATTGGCTTTTGTTGGCTTTTTTTTTTAGGTATATACATATGGTTAATCTGGGATTTGCCTCAGATTGGTCCAGTTTGAGGTGTACAGTTTGCCATTTTCTGGATTTAACTGTAACCATGCCAGCTTTATTTTTTCCCTGAGGTAATATGTTTCATTCTTGTAGCTGTGAACAATGACTTGCCATCTGGGGATTTATAGACCTTTTTCATAGCATTTCTGAGTTTTCTCTCAGTCCACATAGAATAGCTTTAAAAGCAAGATTACAGGCTGTAAACTATGGAAAGATCTGCAATATGTGATTCCTTCCTTATTCACAGTTTTTAGATGTGGTTTTAAGCCTTTAACTGTTATGGTGGCTTGTCTCAGTTGAACAGTTGGAGGCATGGAGTAAGTTTTAATGAATCATTCCTTGGAGTGGTGGATCTAAGAGCTATAGTTTATAGTGGGGTCCATAAACGTTAATGGCTGCAGGTCTTGGTTATATTTGTCTGCCAGAATCTATTTAGAGATTTCACTCTCTCTCACATTCATGACGAGTGAACAGGGACCTCTGTGTTAGGATAGTGGCCTTCTCTTTTGATGCTGCTAGTTTCCTCCCTCCCTGTATTCCCCCAAAACTTACTGGCGGAGGCACTAATCTGGGGCAGAGGGACACTGTAAGGAAGGAAAACAGGAATATTGGTTAGATTTTATCTATGCTGCTTTGGAGAGGTCACAGAAGCAACTTGGCGTCTTCAATATAGATAAAATCCATCTAGTGAGTCAATGATATCACCAAAGAATTGTAGC